AGGTTTGGGTGGTGGACAGGTCACGAAACACACAGGACTTTACTCTGTTGTCACATGTTCAGAACTGTGAGAACTCTGAGTCATTTTAAGGTACGTCCTTACCACGTTTCTCTTCCTTAACCTGACCTCCATAACTTTACGCTACAGGTCAACGAATGGAGGGATGAGGGTTGAGGCAAGCAGGGAAGAGGATCGAAGGATGAAGCAGTGAGGGTCATGGGATGGATGGATGAGGGGATGGAGGGATGAGGAAGGAAGGAAGGCCAGGTGGGTTGCAGACAGGTGGAGAGTGGAGTGCAAAGGCGGTCCGTTGTTGGCTAAAGGGGGGAAGGGGGGATGGAGTCAAAGTGGAAGGAAACGGATCAAGTGTACTTAAATACTTTTGGTGCAGAAATGGTTGAGATGGAGGCGTGGACTTTGTTCCCGAACTTAGTAGAAAACTTTATTTATTTATGTAACTGTACGTTAAAGACGTAAGGTCAAACGTGGGCTGCTAATTCTTAGGGTATCATACGAACCGTTCTCTGAGAATGTGTTGCATTTTAAGTCCTAAATCATGTGTTGCCGTGCCAACATACTTGTTTTGCCAAGGTTTTAAGAATGAAGCAGAGAGAAGAAAAATAAAAACCTACAGAGTTGGGCAGTATTGAGAACGCAGGTCAATTTAACTTCGATAGCAGTATACATCTTGTCTATACCGCTGATGTGATTACTCCTCATTTGTGTTGGTGCACTGCTTGACAACAGTTTAAGAAAGGCATTAGTCCACCTGCAACTCTTACTAGAGCATTTTTTAATGAAATCGAGAAACCGCTGTCTGATTTTAAAATGCCAAACGTATTAGTCAGCTCTGTGGAGAGGACGGATCAAAGGTCAGGCAGCAGCAAAACAATATCCAACATTTGTTGTTTGATTTAATACTGCAGCCATGAAAAAAACAAAACAAAAAAAAAAAAACCACACTGACAAAATGACAACACCTTGGATATGAAAACAAATTTAAGTGGAATATTTGGAACATGAAGGGATCATTAAGTACTTTAGATGACACACAATAATGTGGCAGTGATGGCTCTCATTCAACAAAGCAGGTAACGATAAAAATGTGCAGCCCGGCCCGAGCTGTCATTAAAACATGAGTCATAGGGTCAGTTTCATATTCAGTATTGACAAATGAGCATTAATCATAACCACTGATACACGCTGCTGATTCATCTGATGACTGTGTGAGAGAATAAGGGATGGAAGACTCATTAAAGGGATAGTTCGGATTTTTGGAAGTAGCGTTGTATGAGGTACTTATCCACAGTAAATTATATACAGTAGATGTCAGGCTACTGACATCCAGTTTGGAGAATTTTGGAGTGATGTACTGCTGTGGACGACTGCAGCAACAAAACATATTTTTAGACACCTAAAAAAAGTCCCATCTAAAAACATTAATATCTATTTAGTGTACATTATATTTACAGTATTGTTGCTTGCTGATCACAGGAGCTGCTGGTCTACCGCGCCTTGATGATCATGGAGATAGTTTGTGTTACTGTGTGAGTTTGGAGAATGTGAACTATTCTTTTTAAATGCTGAAGTCACACAATAACACAAACTAAGTTAATGATCAAAGCAGCAGTGGAACAGCAGCTTCTGTGCCCAGTGATATTAAATCTTTTTCTCAATGGAGTTTGGCTTTGCAGGGAGCGATATAACGGCTTCATTTTACTGTTGGAAACACTGACACATTATGATAGAGCTGTGAAAGTACTCTTAAATAACATGCACTTAAACTGACATAGATATTCTTAGATGGGACTTCTTTTTTAGGTGGCTAAAATACGTTTTGTTGCTGACCCCTCCACAGCAGCAGACTTCCTAGTTTCCATGTCAGACTCCAGCCTGTTTCTCGTAACTGGGGGCATGCCAGCTGACATCTACTGTACATAACATATTGTCTATGGATAAGTACCCATACAATCCCAATTAAAAAATTCTGATCTTTCTTTAAGGATCACAAGCTCCCAGAAAACATTCCTGTCTCCCTGTTGAGGTCATGAATAAAGTGCAGGATACATGAGGCCAGTCCGGAGAGGCTCAGGAGGAGCTTCTACCCACAGGCTGTGCGGATCCTAAATGAGGTCACTGCCTGAGACTGCCCGCTCAGATCACACACATATTTATTACTACTCTTATTCTATTTAAACGCTCTTAAATGCACAAATTGGAGGAACTGCCTGGATTACATTTCAGTGAAAATGTACCTTATGTGATTACATGTGACAAATAAAATTGATTGATTGGAGCTTTAGTAACTGCCGACATTCAGGCGGAATTTACTGGCGGTGCATTTGGCTCCATCAGGTATCATAAATAACCTCTGGGCGCTGCCGTTGACAGAGATCGTTCATGGCAGAACAGAGCGTGCAGCAAACAGTGTTTTAATGTGGCCTTTAAAACTACAAAATCCACTGAAGAGGAAGTCATTATTTGATTCTGCATCGTCCTCACTGTTTGTTGTCTTTACTGCTACTGATGCCTTCATTAAACTATTAAAACCGATCATTAACCTGACTCGATCTGCAGATTTATGTTTGTTTTAAATGTGCTTTTTAGAATCGAATTTGCCCTGTCTGATCCACTCAGCTGTGATTACTGAGGAGTGTAATTCTGAGGCATCAACACCCTCCTCGCCACGACGCCCACCTCCTGTATGAGACATAATCAATCTAAGGAGGCAGAGCGGTCTGTCATTTCTTTCCGTGCTCTGCCTTCTGCTCTGCACCTTCCTGCATCTTTCAAAACCTGAAACAATGAAGCTTTCCTGCACTTAAAAAATTAAATAAAAGATGGACTGTCCTCAGGGGATTCTCATGTTGCATGCTGCTCCTAAGCAGGCCACAATAAAGCAAATCATGTGAGCAGTTGGCCTGTGAATTTACAGCCTGCGTTGGAGGATGGCTCCTCCGGCTGGACCCTGTGTGAATAAATCATCCTGCTGCTTAAACGCTCCAGCTGCTCTTCACCTGCCTTTTGTCACCTCTCACGGATGGAAAAGTGTGACTTAGAGAAAACAGCTCTGCAAATCAACACACAGCGAGCTGTATATCATGATGTCCATATATCTGTTAGAGGAGAGCTGAGGGAGGCTGCCTGAGTGACTGTTCTCTGTAACACTGTGCAGGCGTCAGGAAACTAGCGCTCCCTACTGGTGTCAAATGTTCTGTGAAGGTGTGAAGGTCTAGACGTGCTCTCCCACTTTCTCTCACACACACAAACCACGCTTTCATCTCATGTGCTTATCCAAGAGACTGTTGAGGAATCATTACAGCAAATCTAAACCATTTGATTCCTGGTTATAACTTACTACAAACACCAAACACAGCACCCTCGTCGGGTCAATGTGAATGCAGGATTCCACACTCAAAGCCTGTGTGGCTTTACGAGAGGACAAAATAGATCATCCTTGAGACATACTCCCTACATGTGAATACGTGACAGTGAAGAGCACCAGGAGCCGTGGCAAGGGCGGTAAATAAAAGATGAAAGGTGTCGGTCGATGCAGCCAGGCACAACTTACTGTATAACGTCATTAAAAAAGCATAAAGGAAACTCTGCTCAGAGTCATTAACGGAGCAGGGATGCAGAAATGCCCACCCTTCCTCCAGGAAACTTCAAAGACTCCTACTCCCTGACGCACACACACATATCAGTATTAATATGATTCACGTCTTTCATTTTTTAAAATCTGATTTAGTCATCAAAAGGAGCTTAAGTTTCCGTCCAGAGTGAGACAGAGATTAGTCAAAAACCTGATGTTTGCAGGGTTCAAACAGCCTGGGGATGCAATGCAAATTAAACCTGCCTAAATTTAGTTTATGCACCTTTCAAAGAGCACAACTGACACATAATAAACATATGCAAGCCAGTTTTTACATTTCAAACACGTGCACCAACATGTTCTTACTGTAAAGACATTAGAAGCTGTTTAATAACTGTTTGGAGGATCAAACCTCACAGTGACAGAAATGACAGCTGCTGTCAGAGAGCAGAAATATTCCTTTCTTTGACTCTGCTAGCAAAATGTAAAAGCGGCCTTAAAGAAGCCTTTGGTTTTCACTTTGTACATTTTTGGGTCAGCCATGTCACAGGCCACAGATTATGGTGTCAGGACTTGGAGTCACAGAGCCTAAGCTGGCACTGCAGCGCTCTTAAAACTGACAGACAGCGGCTGCAAAGTAGGCTGCCTGCGCTGGCGGACAGGCGGGGGATGGAAACGTACTTCAGTTCTCCTAATGCGTAACGATCAGCTCCAACAATGCAAACAGAAATACAGTCAGAGCCTGACACCCTGACCTCACCTCAGGCTCAGACACTCAATTTACGCGTCAGCCTGGAAAGGTGGATAAATGTGGATAAACCATGTCTGTGCTCCGCAGGTAAAACAAAAGGTTTACAGTGAGTTGATCTTCCTGCGCCGCCTCCCCGATTACACGTGCAATCATGTTAAGAATAAATACTTAAGAGTGTCCACTTCTAAGAACAGTTTGCACCTTGCGTAACAGCCACTACTTAAGTGCCAGACCGGCGCCGCTGATACAAACTTATCGATCGGGCAGCGCTGCTCTTCCACAGAAACAAGGAAGACGCAGACATGCTGCAGAAACTCTGGACAGGTGGAGCATTTTGAAAAAGCAGGTTAAACACCTTGCCACCACAAACACAGTTAAGCCACATCACAGGAAGGGAAGCGCTGCCGACCAGCTTTCATCCAGCTGGCGCTTCTATCCAGTTAATCAGCCTCTTTCCAGCCACTTTGTATCTCTGCATTAATTCACAGAGAACAAAAACAAATGTAAAAAGCTTAAGTTTGACTGGTTTACTTTGGCTGCTGGGAAACAGCACGGTTTGCCCTGCGTCACGCCGCCGCCGCAACAGCAGCAGCAGCAGCAGGAGCGCAAACCGTGCATTTCCTCAAGTGAGAAAAGAAACAGAAAACAATCACTTACTTTTGGCTTCTTCATATGGAACGACAGGAGTAAATCCAGTGTGTGCGAAAGCCTATTTTATTTTACTTCTACGGGGAGGAAAGGGGTTGTCATCATCCTGTGTGCACATGTCCAATGCCTAAGTCAGCGGTATCCAAGCAGAGGACAAAAAAAGAAGCCCCGAGAAGAAGAAGAAGAACAGGAAGGAGAACAACGGCAAAAAACGTGAAATCAAACGTTGAACCTTTGCAGCCTGTAGGCTAATGGCGTGTGGCATGTAGCCCATCTATCTACAACGTAGATCCAGACACTGAGGGCTCGCAGCGGCGGAGCGGGACAGCGCGCAGAGGGAGGGCGCTAAGCCTTTATAATGATGCGTAAAGAGCAGTCAAAGAGCCGCCCTCTGACGAGCCGCGGTGTCAAGAGGATCACTCCAAAACCACTACTGCCAGTATCAACACATCCCCATCACACATGAAACGGATTCCACGCTGCTTCCTGATAGTGACTTTACTATTTGCCTGTTTGTGGTGGTTTAACCAGACGTTTAACCCGTACATATCCATAAAGTTTGACATTTATTTCTGCTGTGTGCTTTTTCCTCGGCTTAAAAGAATCTCTTGTTCTCTCTCACACAGGAGACATAACTCCATCCAGATGCATCACTGCTAGCTGCAGAGTCCTCATCTTTGCTTCAAGAATATATTTCAAACCATCTATGCCAAATAAAATATGAAACATGAGTGTTTTTACGAGGAAGTTACATTTCAAAGTGCATTTCCAAGTAAAAAGGAAACTATTTTACGAGGTTGCACTAACACAGATAAAATACGTCAATTCACAATTCCACACGAAAAACCTTTGAACTGTGATAGTGCGCCCCCCCCCCTCCTCCTCCTCCTCCTCTCCTCCTGCGTGTGCAGCTTGGTGAATGAGTGACTCAGTGAGTGAATGAGTCAAAGTGTGAGTCACTGTATCGAGGAGGCCAATAAATATCAAGATTCTGCACAACACTTAACAGTGAGAAATCAAAACATCAAAACCTTCAGTGAGTTTTGTGACATGACTGCTGTCACTCAGTTTATATTTAACCTTAATAAACATAAATGTCTTAATAATGAAGTGTGTTTGATGTGGTTTGTCTTTTAGATTTTTAAATTAAATCTGGCATAGAAATGGAGACTCTGAGTGTTGAAAGTTTTGGGAGCTGGTAAGTTGACCAGGGGCAGAAATAAAGACGGTGCAGGCAGGGTGGATGGCCCCGGGGCACGAGGGGTGGGGTGGCCCTCCAACAATGTGTTGGGTGGAGAACAGCCACTTGCAAGTGAGTGGGAGGTGGGTTTGTCTTAAAAATGTAAATCCATGTCATGCCCCCCCCCCCTTTTTTTTTTTGTAAATTGTCAGCAGCATTCTAAAGCAAAATAATTATTGTTCTTAATCTACATATATTTGATATCTGATATTTAACATGTAAAAAAAGACAAACATACAAATAAGCAAACACACAGAAAGTAATATTCACAAATAATGAAAAGCATCATGTAAAAGCAAATTGTCAGAGTTACTGTGATTTACACATCTGAAACAGATGGAGGAAGTATTAACTTATTAAACCCAACCCCTTCTCCAGAAGCCATGGATTGAAAATAAACTTCTTTATAAAGATAAGCCTCTGACTTTTCTAAATATACAGTTTTTATAACCATTTCACTTTGTCACAAAAAATACCTCATGTAAATATTTAATATTAATTACCAAATATCCATCTTACAAACTATAAACCTGTCTTAGTATATAATATAAATTACCTCTTATCTGACTTATAAATATAAACCAGTCTAAATTTATGATATATATATAAATTACCAATTATTTTTGCCTTATATAAAATAAATCTAAATGTTAATATTACATATGTCTTAATCAACTTTTTCTGCTATCTTTTTGTTTTAATAAATGAATACATAAAATATGATTATATATAATTTTACCACTATATAAATATATGTGTGTGTACATCCACATACCTATGGATAAATATCTAGGCTACTTATTTACGTAAACTATAAAAACTATACACTATAAAAAATTCTATATTTGTGGACGTTCTCTGAAAGCTTTCAGATATGAAAACAACAAAGTATTTTCCTACACTGTTTCGTGGGATATCCTACAAATTAGCGCCCCAAGAATGAGGTTACATATTTAACGTGAAGTTATGTAATAACAAAAAGTTAATAGGATAGGTTTAGGAAAAGAAACATGTTTGGGCGTCTTTAGGTTTAAGCAGCAGTCACTGTGGTTAGGTTTAGAGAAAGAAAGATGGTGATGACACAGAGTTTAAATATTTCAAAACACCAGTCTGCCTGGGAAAGTCCTGTGTTTTGTGACCCATCCATTGTCCTGATCTGTCGCCTAACTGAACCGCTCAAAGCTGCTTCCTTGTTCACTGCTGTCAGCAAAATTCGTGGGTTATACACGAATTTCTAGCTCATGCTCACTGAGGATATATATTAATTTTGGTGCATGATTTCCAAAGGAAAATGTACAATTAGTGCATGACAACAGCCTGGACGAGACAATACTAAAGTATTTTTTTTTTAAATTTTTGCAACTGGTCAAAATATGTCACTAATAGAAAAAGACAGAGACGACTGGTTGATCTACGTATACAAACGTAGATCAAAACCTTGTGTCGAGTGCAGTGGAGAGCGTGGAGAGACAAATGACAGGAAGGCAATCCAGGCACTCTGAAAAAATGTAGAAAAACATCCTTAACAGTTGTGCTAACAGTTTGCTAACTGGGGAGGCAGCTTCCGTGTCAGCTTGGTTCATAGTAAAATACAACTGACAACAGAAATCAAGTGACGTGAACATGGTGAACACGGAGGCTCCATTTGTAACGTCACACAACAGTTCACAATATCCTATGAATTAGTGCCTTACGAATTTTCGGTGCATTACTTTTCATAGGAAAACATACAATCCGTGCACAAGAACAGCCTGGACGAGACAACACCATATGTTGTAACCTAATGGTATGTTTGCACCAAATTTTTACCTGCATTACTCCTGAGAATACGGCCGCTGGAGTATTGTTTGGAGCATTTTGCAACTGGACAAAATTTGCCTTTAACAGCTGTGCTGACGGTTTTGCTAACTAACTATGGGACGCAGCTAATACTGTAACGTGGTCTGTAGTAAAGTGCAACTGATATAAAATCAAGTGAAGGCTCCGTGCGTCTAAACCAGATCTCTACAGTAACAGGCGTCATTCAAATCAATGTATCCTACAAAAACAGTCGATATATCCTACAAAAATGCACACACAACATTTTGTATGATATCCTATGAATAAGCGCCCCATGAAAGACATTACGTCCTCAATGCAAAGTTATGTAACTAACGTAAAGTGAGGGATGTTGGGTGTAGGAGTATTAACATGGTGAGGACGTAATTTAAAATGACTCTAAGTTCACACAGTTCTGAACACGCAACTCCAGAAGAAAGTCCTGTGTTTTTTTTTGTGACCTGTCCACCACTCAAATCTGCCTCCTTACAGGACTGCTTTAGACTGCTTCTTTGTTTACTCCTGTCAGCGCATTGGTCACATGATCGCAGTCTTTCAAAATGTGTAGGATATATATTTGTTTTGGGTGCATTAATCTTGGTAGGAAAACATATAAACATACAAGGGGAAAGAAACATGGTGAGGACGTACCTGAAAATGACTCAGCGTTCACTCAGAGTTGACACAGTTCCAGACACGTGTCCTCTGGTGAAAGTCCTGTGTTTTGTGACCCATCAATTCTCATGCTTGTTGAAATTTTTCAGCCACACAAATTTTGCATGTTTGCGTCATTTGTCATCTTGGTGTCTATTTTCATCTTTGATTTGACTTTGTATGTAATCGAGCGGCGCAAAAAACTTAATGTTTCTGCTTTAAAATCCAACACATTGTTGGTGAAGTACACAGAATTTACCCCCAATGGTGTGTGTGTTTCTAAGCTGTTCTTATGCACTGTTTTTTAGTTTTCCTATGAAAAGTAATACTTCAAAATTTGTACATGTCCCATGTAGTCATGAGCCAGTAATTCGTGTATAACCCACATATTTGAGAAAGCTGCGATCACATGACCAGTGTGTTGATGGGAGTAAAGTAGAAAGTGGTCCCAACTGGTCCGTAGGTTGGGATGGTGGATGAGTCAAACAACACAGGAGTCTCCCTCAGGAGATCAGTGTTCGGAAGCATGTGAACTTTGAGTTTTTTATTATTAAGGCACCTTGTCTCAGTGCCTCTTTTCCTAAAACTAACCACAGTAATTTTATGAGTACATGATATCACTCGTGGGGCGCTCAGTCACAGGATATCACCTGAACCTTTGATTGAAGATACAACGTTGTTTTATAACTGGGTCTCCTAGTTAAATGAAACATTTTGTGGAAGGAACAACTGTGTCTGTGATGTTCACTATGATGATATAAAGGGCTTCTGTGTTTTTTGTTGTGACTGATTAATGTTGATTTTACAGTGACCTAATTTTATTTTGTGGCATTTCCTGTTGCTGTGCTCTGTGGTCATTTGTTTGATAATGTCAACCCGTGGTAACATTCCTGTGTTGCATGAGACAGTGGTGCCTTTTGAAGTCAGACCACTGAGGAACAAATTTTGATTTCAGCATACTTCCATGTGTGGTGACACAACTATCTTCTGTTTGTAGCTTGGGACAATTAAAAAAAACACAACAGCAACTTTTAGTTCCACGAAACCTGAATGAATCAAAGCTTCTCCCCGGGGCCGTGGACACAAATGAAAAAGAAGCAACACGTGTCTAGTTCGTCTGAGGTCAAGCTCTCGATGTAGGGGCTGGAGGGAAACCTGGAAGCTTGCTGCCAAAAGAAAAGGGGCCAAATATGCTTCAACAAGTTTTTTAAGTGTTTAGCACATGCTGACACTATCAGCACCCTGTGGTTTGAATGCAACCTGCATGCTGACACATGACATCCATTGACAGAGGTCATTAAAATATTTAATTCAAGGCTCTCAGAAAAGTTGGAAGCTGTTTCGGTGCAAATTGCAGCTAAACATTACGTGCTAATGGGATTATTCTGCCAACAGACTGCTTTCAGAGGTTTGGGGACAGGTGGAGACATAGTGTAATCACCTCTGTCATCCTTCTTCTTGAAGTTCCTCCTCATCATACATTGTTTTATCTGTCTCCTACAAATTTTTAATTTTACAAGTTTTGTGCAGCTAGCCTGCAGCAAATGTTCTCTGGCAACTTTTCCTTCCAATTTGTAGGGAGGATAAAAGCAAAAGGTGTCTCAGT